CGTGCATTTCTTTCATGAGTTTGATGGCGTCGAGACCGTGGACGCATCTTAGGTAAGGTCCCGATACGCTTCGTTTATAAAGGATAGATTCCATTATGCAGTATCTTGCGCTTATTGCTTTAAGTTTTCGAGCTTCCCATTTATGGGGGGGGGGGACCTTGCCCTCCGAAATATACTGTATGATTGGAATTCTCCAGTCCTCTCTTCCTATGATTTTGTCGTGAAGGGAGGAGGGAGGTCCCAACGCGGGATCAGGTTCTCGGGTGTTGTTGTGTCCGGAGGTCGTACCCCTGGGGGTGTTCCTTCTGTTAGGTTCGTCGGAACCTAGGTCTGGAGGAACATCTCGAGGTGTGTTATTTATTTCCGGGGCTGGGATTGTGTCTCCGGTTGGAGTTTCGGGTTCAGGGGAATATCTTGTTCTGCGAGTGTTTACTCTTAGGACAAGTGAGCTTGAAGGCTGGACTATGCCCCCGGAGGTGTGCTTTCTGAATTTGCGGGCTTTTGTTTTTGGGAACCAGAATGTGGTTAGGACTTGGGTTGCTGCTGATTCGGAGCAGCTAGATCACGTTCAACTTCTCCCGACGAAGCCTCCGAGATTATCTCCGCGAGTTACGGGATTTGCAACAGCCTCCTTTTGACTATGCCTCGCACGTTTTCCTTGAGCTGCTTCTTATTAGTTGTTTGTAGATGAGGTTCAGAATCTTTTTCCGTGACCTGTTTTTGTTAATGACTTTCCTATTGGATCAATAGGTAACGATCTTATTTGGTTCTTCCTTAGGGGATAAATTCCTAATAGGCTTATAATAGCCCATTAACGACTTCAACTATTCGAGCCCATTAATTCAGCTAACGGGCTAAATTCGGGCCCAACAATGAGTTATATCACTGTTTTTGACCAAAATTTTTATTTTTGTCAGAAACAAAAAACAATCGGCATATTATACAAAATTTGCAAGTTTGTTATGGTTATGATCAAGTTTATACCGTTGAGCCTCGTGGACGAAACGGTGACCTAGCATTTTTTTATATGGATGATCCTTCCGTTACTATCTTGTATGCAGATGAGCACATGATTGATGTTGAAACAAGTTTAGAAGGACATGCGATTTTTATGACGTTTGTGTACGGTGATCTTGTTGTTAGACTCGAGACCTAGTTTGGGAACGACTGTCAGGCATGATTACAAATCGAGGTGGAGCTTGGTTTATGATTAGAGATTTTAAATGAAATCACTGAAAAATCATAAAAAGAGGGGAGGAAGACATCGCTTAGAGAGCTCTTTTCTCCCTTTCCGTATCATGTTAGAAAATTGTGGAATGCTTGACTTCCCATATAAACGAAACTCTTTCTCGTGGGTGGGAAAAAGACGATCCGGGAAAGTTAAATGCAGACTTGATAGAGCCGTTGCAAATGAAGAATGGCACGCCTTATTTACCCATTCAGTTGTAGAATTTTTACAATTATGGGGGTCGGACCACAGACCGGTCTTAGCACGCATTCAATCTAATGTCCGACGGGCAAGGAAGAAATTCAGTTTTGACAAAAAAATGGATAGGAAAACCAGGTTTCAAGGAAGCGGTAATTTCGGGATGGGGACAGCTTGATGCAATTCCAATTCGGAATTTTCATCAAAAAGTTACCTCATGCCGAAATAAAATAAGTTCTTGGAAAAATCAAAATCCAACGAACTCTGCTACACTTATTAAAGAATTAAAAAATAAGATAGATTTGGCTCAGGATGATGAAAATTCCACAACAGAGCAGCTAGAGGAATTGAGAAGACAACTTATAATGGCTTTTCAAGAAGAAAAAAAGTTTTGGAAACAAAAAGTAGGGACTAGTGGCATAAAGATGGAGACAGAAACACAAAATTTTACCATGCCACCACAAAACAACGAACAGCTCAGAATCGGATCATCAATATCAAAGACAAATATGGGAAGTTGGTAGAGAGTGAAATCGAAGTAGAGAACGTGGCTGTTCAATACTTTCGAGACATTTTCTCTACCTCTTTACCGACAGAGCTAGACGCCTCCCTCCGTTTCATTACAGGAAAGGTATCGCATGCCGACAATAGGTTACTTTTAGAGGAACCGTCAGAACATGTAAATTAGAAAAGCTCTCTTCGACATCAACCCGGATAAAGCACCCGGATCAGATGGCATGACTAGTAAATTATTTCAGAAATTTTGGCATGAGATGCGTCAAGACATTATCAGACTTGTAAAAGATTTCTTTGCGACAGGTAGTTTCGACCCACTTTTGAACCAGACGAATATATGTCTCATCTCTAAAAAGAAGAAACCCCGGGACATGACCGAGTTTAGATCTATTAGTCTCTGCAATGTTAGCTGCAAAGATTATATCTAAGCTCTTATGCAAGAGACATAAGAGGGTTATTCCACGTTTGATCTCAGAGACACAATATGCTTTTGTGGCAAACGTTTGATTACTGACAACATTCTGATAGCACAAGAGAACTTCCATGCCCTTCGGGCAAACAAGAGATGTAGGGAAAATTTTATGGCTATTAAAACAGATATGAGCAAAGCTTACACGATAGAGTGGAATAGAGTTTCATAGCAGCTTTGATGTTGAAGATGGGCTTTGATGAAAGACTGGTTGACCTCATTATGTGTTGTGTCACGTCGGTCTCATATCAAGTCTTAACCAGTGGACAACCAAGAGGACGAATATTACCAAGGAGAGGGCTGAGACAAGGAGACCTCCTTTCCCCATTTTTGTTCATTCTGTGTACGGAGGCTTTGATCTCGCTCTTAAATGGAGCGGAATCAGAGAAAAAGATTGTAGCCTCCGTGATGCTCGGGCGAGCCCAAGGGTTTCCCATCTTTTTCTCGCAGATTATAGTCTCTTCTTCTCCAAGGCAGAATTAAGCCAATGCAGGGAGATCATGAACACTCTAGACATATATGGGAAAGCATCAGGACAAAGAAAAAATGTGTCAAAATCCTCTACGTTTTTTTTGGAAACCGAGTGGAGTATTCTATGACGCAAGATATAAAAGAGGTCCTGGGATTTTCTTTGGAAGGAGGCATGAGGATGTACCTGGGACTACCTGAACAAATTTGTGGCTCAAAGACAAAAGTGTTCTCCTATGTACAAGATCATCTCAATGGGCGAGTTAACACTTGGTCATCGAGACTCCTCTCCAAAGGAGGAAAAGAAGTTCAAATTAAATATGTGGCTCAAGCAATTCCGACATATCCAATGTTGTGTTACTTTCTTCCACAAGACATTACTGATAAACTAAGGAGCACAACTTCTAATTTTTGGTGGAGCTCAAAACAGAACAGCAGAGGTTTACATTAGACAACATGGGATGAGATCTGTATCCCTAAAGATTCGGGGAGACTAGGTTGTCGAGATCTCCATGACTTCAATATAGCGCTTCTTGCAAAACAATTGTGGAGATCAGTTCATTACCCAAACTCTCTACTGGAACGTGTCCTAAAGGGAAAGTACTACAACCACATCTCTCCCCTAGAAGATCGATGAATTTACTCACCATCATATGGATGGCGTAGTATCATGGCAGCAAAACCTCTATTCATTTTAGGTTTACGGTGGAACCGGTCAAGATACGAGGGTTTGGAGTGAGTCTTAGGTTCCAGATTCAGTGGCTCGACCACCTAGATCTGCCGATCACGTTGTTTACATACTACCCCAACTTCGGGTTCAGTCCTTTATTAGGAATGATACCAAGGAGTGGGACATACAACTTTTACGAGATTTTTTCCACCCAAAGGATATCCCTTTGATACTTGGGATAAAACCTTCTCTATCTCTTGCTCCGGATGGATATGTTTGGAACCACATAAAAACATGAGTATACTCAGTTAAAACCGGCTATGACCTACTCCAATCAACCAAGAGGAGTCTCACACATGAAGTGGCTCTTGAACCAAGTGTCACGGGCCTGAAGAGCCATGTGTGGAAGATAAAGGCTCCAAGTAAAATGAAGCATTTCCTATGGTAGGCTATCTCGGGTTGTGTTGTGACGACATAGAGGCTCACTTATAGACACATGGGCACCGATAGGAGTTTTCATAGATGTGCTGTCCAGTGGAGTCGATTAATCATCTTCTTTTTGAATCCCCCCCAGCCTTACAGGTTTGGGCTTTATCGGACTAGCTGTCCTTTCCGGGTGACTTCCCGAGTACATATTTATACCAAAACATGAATTTTCTGTTTTGGAAAAAGAAAAGTAGTGGCTCCACTGAGACCATAATTCGATACCTTCACATGGATATGTTAGTACTTTGGAAGGCGAGGAACGACACTCTTTAATGGGAAAGTTGTATCCCCGATTGATACTCTCCAACATGTGTCTCTTAAGACAGAATGTTGGAGAAATGCTAATGAAAAGGAAGAAACAAACGAGGATCATGAAAATTCTCCTTTCATAGAGATCGAGATAGTACCCCTTTGGATACCCTGAATTCCTACTTGCCAAATTGATGCGTTATGGATCGATAATGGCAGTGTCAGTGGCTTAGAGTGGAGTCTTAAGGATCAAATGGGTTCTGAAGTCTTCGGATTATTGGCGTGCAGAAAGAGCCTCGCAGCTTTGCATGCTGAGATGGAAAGTTTACTTTGGGCAGCCTCATGCATGAGAGACATGAGGATAACTTCGATACGATTTGAGACGGACTGCTCGGATCTAGTGGACATCACTACAAATCCAGAAGACTGGCCGACTTTCAGGACATAGATTGAAGAGTTCCGTTACAAGAGGATTTCGAGAATGTGAGCATATCTTATATTCCTCAGAGTATGAATGGTCGAGCGGACGCGCTAGCAAAAGAAGCAAGGATTAGAAGTTATACATTTTGCCAGATAGATCAGACCCGACCAAACAGAGGTACTCTTCAAAGAATCGGCTCATCTGTCTCCACTTGATCTAGTTTAAATGGGCTGACTCCACGTGATTTAGTTTAAATGGGCAGTTGACAAAAAAAAAAAAAAGAATCATATCATTTCAAGAAAAAGACTAATATACAATATACATTAGAAAACAATGGTCTTTTAAGATTGCATTCTCCCTGTTTTTTTTTTGTCAACACATTCTCCCGGGTTTGAACGTTACACTTAACAAGTTCAATAATTACAGCTTAATAACACTAACAAAACAACAATTTTTGTCATGTGTGGTTTTACAATCTTAATTTGTGATATAAAGCTCTTGCTTAGCTATAAAATACCGACCAATGAGATCACCGGATTCCACAACAAACTGTTCTTGAAACCGACCAACGCGTCTGTCTCCAAGATCGAACCCGAGATCTTTGAAACTCGGAAGCCCTTCTGCTTGAACTCCATCACCACAAATCAGAAACTGGTTCCCCACAATGAATGATCCTATTGCACGAATCATGACCCCACCATCGCCATGTGGCTTGCACTGAAGCTTCTCAACGACATGAACGAGTTTCTCACTTGGTAAATCTCCTGCCAATGTGTTGCGGATGTTTGATAATGTTGACAAGATTTCTGTAGAACCTGTGTATTGTTTTCCAGAGTAACTGCACGAAAATACAACAGACCGTAACCAAGAAAACAAACCAAACCGAATAGTAAACCGAAAATGATATGCTTTGTGTTTGAAATTATGAGAGGTTTGGTTACCTGAAAACGGAAGTTTCAGTGTAGAGGGATTTAGTGTGGTGCCAAAGATCATCAAATCCATCAAAGAGGGAGTAATAATGTATGGTGAGCATCTGAACGGAGAACAATTAAGATCACTAATATTTTATTGACTAACAAGTAAAGTAATTAAAACCATTACTTACATCTGCTATATCTTTCAGTCTCTGAGTTGGATCAAAGATGCTTTGAACAAAAGCAGCCAAATCTACAGTTTCCTTCTCATGTTTTGTAATAAAAGGATGTGACAGAAGCTGTTCAAGAAAAAGATGAAACACCAATCAGAATTGATTACAAAGAAAAGTAAAAGAAAAGCAACAAACTTCGAACCTGATCAGCTGTTGGTCTAGTTTCTGCATCTTTCTGGAGGCAAACATCAATAAAGGAACAGAACTCTGGTGAAAATTCTTGTTTTGATGGTGTTGGTGATGGATCATCCAAGATCTTCCAATCACATAACACAAAAAAAAAGACAGAAACTTAAGTAGATATTTAAAAATAGTATATGAAAAGAAAAGAAAAATGGTCAAGTTGATTTCACCTGCAACATAAGATTAACAGGACCTTCATTAGCTATATACGGAAACTCTCCAGTGCCGCATTCAAAAAGAGCGAGACCAAGACTCCATATATCAGCTGGATAAGAGTAACCCTCATTTCTAATCCGCTCCGGTGACATGTAGGTGACAGTTCCAACAAAAGTAGCACACTTTTTGCAACCAAACATTTCAGTTATTAAAAAGTTAGAAGAAAAAAAACTCCGAAGCAAGAGATTCAATCACTAACCATAGCCATTGAGTTCTCAAGACCAGCACTTATGCCAAAATCAGTTATCTTTGGTTCCCCTTTGAGATTTACAAGCAGATTTGCAGGTTTGATGTCTCTATGGACAAGATGTCTAACTCCATGCAAGTAGCTCAATCCCTAGAAGCATCACCAAGAATGAATTTCATATACCACAGAGAGTTGAATATTCAAGAGAGTTAAGTGTCTTTACTTGCAAGAGTTTGTGGAACATTGACGAAAGAACAGGCTCAGGTATCTTCTTAGTCACTTTTAAGATATCTGCAAGAGATCCTCCATCCATATATTCAAGAGCTATGCTGATTTGTCCAGAGTCAGGACTATAAAAGGCTCCGTGAAAATCCACAAGTCCTTCATGACAAGGAGCTTCACACAGAGTCCGTATCTCTGTAAGCAGTTGCTGTCTTTTCTCCTGCTTGAACCAAATCAGTAAAAGTTCAAAGAAACAACATACTCTAAATGATATAACAAGAAAGAGAGTTTATTTTTTACCCTTTCGAAGATATTGATTCTCTTCAAGGCTAGAAGTCTGTGTTTGGGGATATGAATAGCGCGCTGAACAACGCTGCTAGCTCCGCTTCCTATAGCTCCAAAGACCCTCATTTCATGGGAAGCACACTGATAAGTCGTCTCGCAACTCTCAGACTCATCAACATGAGAAGTTGTGCATTTTTGTAACCCGAGCTCGTTGAAGTTGTAAACTCCATATGATCTACTAAGCAAGTTAACAGTACCACCATCTGATAACTTCACAAACAAACAAACAAAAACTTTACCACAACAAAAGCCTATAACATAACTTCTTCACAAGAAAGAAACTTACTAAATATGAATCGTTTGGGTCTAAAGATGAGGATGAAGAGAAACCCTTCTCGGCATCAAACAAAGGAGAAAGTTTCTTCTTCAGTTCCTCCAGTGCTGCCATGTAAACTTCTTCTGTGACACAATACAGACAAAGAGTCAACATTAACTATGCCAAATTAGGAAACTTTTTTTATTTGGGTAAAAGATATGAAACATAAACTATCTTAAAGTTGATCTCTTTCTTAAATATCATCATCTCCTGGTTTGCTATACATTAAAGGATCGAATCAAAGTCGTGACGAGTAAACTAAAACCAAATCCTCTAAACATTGAATATGAATTTTTTTTTTTTTTTGGACAAACATCTAAATTAAAGCGTTTCAGCTTATCAACAAACTCTCAACATTGAATATGATTTCTCCGGGAGCTTCGATGATGTCGCAGATCGTGAGATCTTCTCCTCCGTCGAAGACTCAAGCTCCTCCTCCTCCTCCCCTGTTTCTGACCCGGTGAAGTTTTCTCTTGAAGATTATAGAGGGTACGGGCTCTATCTATCAAAGATAAGTGTCTTCGTATTCGAAATCTGAGATCGTATTTAAAAATTCATAACACATAATACAGATTAGGACAACTAATGGAAACAAACAAAGTTCAAACAGAAATCTATAAACTCAAACCTTTATGCCATGATCTGCAGTAGAACACCGACAAAAAGTTCTGTAGAGAAAAATAATTTTGTAAGGGAAAACCAAAGTGCTTAGAACAAAGACATGTTTCTATTTTTTTCCCGAAAATAAAATATATGGGCCATCAAGATATAACAAGCCCAACTATGACGAGTAAACGATATTTCTTTCCCTAAAAGATATAGGTAGACGATCTATTTACCCACGAGAACTATCATATAGCATCAGATCCCCACCGAACTATGACCTCATGCTAGACTCCCACAAATTGAAAATTGCAAACTTATTTCTCCCCGAATCAATACTTCAAAACCTAATTACCCACAGACAATGGTTTTAATTGGTTTTAGTTGGTTTATTATTAACCAAACATCTTAAAATCAAGTAAACTAAATCAAAATCCAATTAAATCGCCACCTGAATTACCGTAAACATTCTTATGTATTAATTCTAATGGATTTATTTTACAACAGAAGAAGATTTTGTTTTATTTAATTGGATTTTGGTTTGGTTTACTTGATTTTAAGATGTTTGGTTAAGAATAAACCAATTAAAACCATCGTCTGTGGGTAATTAAGTTTTGAAGTATTGATTCGGGGAGAAATAAGTTTGCAATT